TTACTCTTTTCAAAGCTACACCATTCGGTCGGGAGAAGTGGATCCAGGGAAAGTGAGGGTACTGAAGGCCCCAATAAATGAGAGAAGCCATGGATCGTGCAGGAAGTATTGCCAGTGAAAGGCTGACTCCTGACACTGGCAGCAACAGGCTGAGAAAACATACCCTTTAATATCGTTGCTGGTGATAAGCTGCGGTTGTTGTTCTAACAACATGTTTTAAGAAGTGTCAATTCATACTGCCTCTGTGTGAAAAGTCCTCATAGACAGCAATCTCTTGAGCATCTCAGGGTACAATATAATAGTTTTGGGTTTTTTTTTCAGAATTGAAAATCTAGAAACAAATTTTCCTGAGTATGGCCTCCTCCTTTACACACTGACCAAATGTTAAAAGTGTAACTTGACTTATGTAAATACTTAAGAGAGTCAATATTTATACGAGGCACTGTTAACCCTATTAGAATTACTTGAAGAAATAAATGAATTGGAAGAGGTTAATGTATTTGCTGTTCCAAATGACTTTTTACTAACACCCATGCAAATCCACATTGAGGAACTTGTTTTTGATTAACACAGCAGCGTTGCACAGTGCCAGGCACGATCCACGCACTTGACAAACAGTCTTCATTACAACCCTAGGAAGCTGATTCCAACATCCCAAACCGGAGGGGAGGAAGCTAAGACAGAGGATTCCAGCCACTGCCAGGCCTCACAGGTAGGAGCTGCCTGATTCAAGATCTTTAGGGTCCTTCTCAGGACCCTGCCAACGTCTTCCGCTACAGATCAAATTCCCTCTTTCCCTCCTCTCTGAATACAGCTCTGAATACAAAATTGCTTATAAATGGTAAGGCACAATGGAGAAAAAACAGTGAATTGATGTGATTTTAAAATATGAAAGGCCACAGAGAACTCTACTATGCCGCAGGAACAAAAAACATGTAAATTCTGACCAATGCAAAGGCTGTGGAGGTTCCCATTTTACTGTGTACGAAATGAGGCTCTTATGTTTATTCAGAGCGGAGAACTCAAAGCCCCCCTTCTTTTGTGAAAATTTAAATGAAAAGCACCCCTCCTCCCACCCTTTTCTTGCTCAATACTAGAGACTGCAAGGGAGGGGGGGGGGGAGGCAGGGGAAGGGGAAAGAAAAGAGAAAGCTGAAGAAAAGGCAAAAAGAAGAAGGGGGAGGGGAAATCCATGCTGTAGAAAAGCTGTCCTGGGAACACTTAGCACAGCTCATCATCCCCTCATATAACCCAACATACAAACACAGGGTGGGATAAATCAACTCCACAATGGTCTGCAGAACTACTTAATAACAGTAACTTGAACTTGAACCCCAAAAGGCTGCGCTCTCTCTGCCACCTAGAAATGCGTGGTAAGAAAAACGGTTGTGCAAAGCTGGCGACATTGGAGCACGGTCTGTAGTGTAGCTCACCAGGATTGAACAATGCCGACTTTCTGGTTTTGACACTGTCCTATATACGTCGTCGTGTGAGTGTGACAACTGGGAGTAGTTGAGTATATGGGACCTCTGGGCTGCTTTGGCGACTTCCTCTGAGACCACAATTAGTTCAAAATGAGAAGCTAAAATACATGGCGGACTGAAAGGCACTCTGCTCTGTCACGGAATAGCTGCCGATGGCACGGGAGAGGTCACTTGTCATTTTTCTCTCATATTTAGTGAACTGTGTGGGTCCCGTGAAGGACTGTGTAACTTCCACCACCACAGAACGGGCTCAGACCCTGTGACTTTGAACTCTCTCTGCTTGATGGCATTTCACGGTGTAATCGTGCATGGAGACCAGGCTTCCTCATCAGCGTTTATGTTTGTGAGACTCATCCATAGAGCCGTACCCCCCTTCCAGTTCCCCTGGTATGGGGAAGTCCACTGAATGAGCATGCCTTTATTTACCCACTCCTCTACGGACATACCTTTGAGTTTTTCTCGTTTTTTGACAATTAGGAATAAGGCTGCTAGGAACATTCTATATAGACCTACGAGTGTATGAAGAATGTTTGTCCCACCAGCAGGGTCTGAGAATTCCCACTGATTTATATCCTTACCAACTTCTGGTGTTGCTACTCTTAAATGTTAGCCATTCTGGTGGGTGTGTGTATATGAGGCAATAAGGATTTAACTTGCATTTCCCTAAAGATTAACGATGTTGAACATCTTATCACATGCTTATTGAGCATTTGGGACATTTGTTGTGAAGTACCTGTGCAAGTTTTCACTCATTTAAAAAAAAATCAGTGTATCTGTCCTCTTCTTATTTGCTTCTTTCCACAGCCTGGTTGCCTGACTTTTCTCGGATACGTGCACTGCCAATGTGTTCCCACTTCGTGATTTGCCTTCCACACTATCTTCATAGCATATTATGACAGTGGTCTGAACTTTAATTTTAATTACTAAGCTTTTCAATTATATCTAACTTAAGATCATGAAAATATGGCATGAGGATAGTCGACTGCATTATCTTTCAGTAGTTTTATCTTTCATATACAGATGTATAATTCTCCTGGAAAGGATTTTGTGTATGGGGTTAAATAAGGACCAGATATAAAACCTGTCCAGGTGACCTAACACCATTCACTGAAATGACTGCCTTTTGACAACGCTGGGCAACGCTGCTTCTATTATAAATCAGGGTCTGTGTACACAGGCTGGTTTCTGAACTCTGTTCTGTTCCACTGATCTAACTGTCAATCCTTATGTCAATACCAGTATCTTAATTAGTGAAGCTTTCCCAATAAATCTTGGTGTCTATTATAGTAAGTGTCCCACTTTCTTGTTCTTCCAAATGGTCTGGAGTACTTCCAGCTCTGCATTTCCATCTACATTTTAGAATCAGTTTTCAATTTCCACAAAAATCCCAACTTCAAAGCTTGGGGCATTTATCAGCAACTATGCCCTCCTGGGCTCTGAGCTCCAATTTTT